CCCAGCATTTTGGTTGGCCAAGGTGGGGGGATCACTTGAGCCCGCCAATTCCAGACCAGCCTGGAAGGAAGACATTGGAGACTGGGAAGGGTGAGAGCAGGGAGAGGGTTTGGGGATGAGAAATTAGTTATTGGGTACAATGTACACTATTTGGGTGACAGGAGCGCCAAAAGCACAGACTTCACTACTACACAATATATCCATGTAACAAAACTGCACTTCTACCCCTTACATTTATACAAATTTTAAAAAAGAAAGAAAGAAAAGGAAAAACATTTGCTTCAGAAGCTGCCTCTAAGGCCTTGATTTTGGGATATTGTTTTCTGAGCCTCAACACACCCAATTCAATTTAATGAAGTCACAGTCTCCTTTGTGAAAAGAAAAAGGAAAAAAAAAAAAAGAGAGGGAGAGAGATGTAATGACTTGGCAAATACATATCACGCCTTCTTCCTGTAAGTCTCAGGAGCAGGGAGGCATTCCCCCCTGCAAAAACACCAGGTTCAGGACAAGCGGCCCTCAGCAATGGAACCACGATATTCTCACAGGCCCGCAGCCCACCTGCCTCACTGGCCCACTGTGACACTGCATGGACCATTTACTGTCCTGGTTCTGGTTCTCTTTTTGTTCCTTAATCATTTGTTTCTTTTACTGATGCATAATACTTTACATATGGGGACATGTATTTATTACCTGCATAGACTATGTAATGATCGGGTCAGGGTATTTGAGGTATCCATCACCTTGAGTATTTATCAGTTAATGTCTTAGGAACATGTCAAGTCCAGAGCAAAGTAATTCTCAAAGGAAGGCAGGAAATGCGGCTGGTTTAAGCCATTAGTAAAGTATACGTGAGAGAAAAAGAAATTTGAAGGTTGTTTTAGGCCATATTTTTTATTTCCTTTATGCTTACTCAAGTAACTTAGGAACTCTGGCCATTTAAGTTCTACCAGTGTCCTGAAACTTTGCCAGCAATGAGGGAATGTTGACAGGACAATCTAAAAGGCTTAAATTAGCATTTCATGCTCCACTAAGGTTTATGTTTTATTGAATGCCTAATGACATTATTATTTCAGAGAATTAGAACTACAGAGAGAAATTTTTAAAATGATTCTGGCAAATGCATTTTTTATTTGTAGCTACTTTAACAACTCCAACTAGCTAATTCTGCTAATGCATTGCACTTTTCTGAGGGAAGCTTGTAGCCACTATAATAGTGTCAATTGTATCTCAAGAGTCTCTTTTTTCCTGAGTCTTCATGCTGGAAATGAATCTTGTGGTTATACGATACAGGCTATTTCCATTAAAGAGTATTCAATAAACGGTGTTTGTGCTGGACTGGATTTGAACCAGAAAAGAAATAAGATATAACCATATGGAGCCAGTCATTAAGCATTGGCAACACATAAATAGGGAAATGTTAGCAAATCATTCATTTGACAATTCAGACAAAATATTATAATGCTTACACAATATAAGAGTAAGGCAAGTTAGGCGATTTCTCATATAGTCTCTGTGTAAATGTTAAGCTTTCAAGGCAGGAAAATGAACTAGATCATGGCTAATCATGCCTCAAGGTACTCATTAGTCTGTGTTCACTTCAGCTAGAGTGGATATTGATCAAAGAAGATTCTTGGTGTTTCCATATGATCACATTGTCCCTCCTGCTGGTATTGATCAGGGTTTCTAAAACATGCAATATTTGCACTTTGCTACACATCACTGTAAGATTTCGATCACATTTTCTCTATGTTAATCTACTCAAATTTAATTTTTCTTAACTTTTAAAAGGCACTGATGGGTGAGTATTGATCTATTGAAGTTGAATCACCATCACTAAGACTGAACGTTTAATTCAACTTTATTTTGGCTTATTCTTGGAGAAGACCCATGAGTAAAATATATTTTTGGAATCATATGAAAGCTTCTAGCATTGGCAGGGGTAACCAGAATTCTAAGTACTTGTTTCTGACAGAAGTATCTCTGAAATACTACATAAATGAGCATTTGGAAGTCGTCGTTAATTGGCAGGTCATCGAACAAAAGTAATTCTCATTAATTTGGGTTTTGTTCAATTCATCTCCTCACAATATGTAGAGGTCTCTGAGCAGGTAATAGAAGTAGCATAGCAAAAGAAGGTCACACTTTCTCTTTACTCCATATGCACGATCAATAACTCTCAGAAGCTTCTCAATCATTGTTAGTAGTTGAGAATTTCAAAGTGTAACATGAAATAAAAGGAATATTAGTATTTTAAGCACCAAGTAATATGACAGATTGTGTGCAAACTTTAGTGTGAAGACTCAAGAACCCCCATCCTAGTGATCTTATGGAAAGGCCACATTATTTATATATTTATAAGAACTTGATGCTTTAGCAAAATACATGGGAAAGCAATACATAGGAATGAATTCTATTTAGACGCAGACAGAAGATGAGCCATCTTTTTATTTGTTTTAAAAGCTAAAAAAATTTTAAAAAAAAAGATGTGATTTATATACTTTGTGAAACCTTACTATGTACCGTGAAACCAGTATTTCCTCTGTTCTTTTTTTTTTTTTGTGAAGTCTACTTTTTGAAGAATGTATATGCATCTTTCAATTACACCAAAATTTCACTGAATTAGAGTTCTTAACAGTGTTTTTCAATCTGATACTCCTGAGATATTTTCAGCCAGTGACCCAGAGCCACATCGAGTCACAAAAGGGTTTGCTTCGACCCTTTCCCCACCCCTTCTGCAATACAATTTCATGATGAATAATTAGAAGTGGATAAAAAGATATGAGTAGAGAAAAGGAGAGATACTTGTAGAAGTAAACATTTGACAGCCTTTGCAAATTCTCGGATGAGTAGGTATCTTCCTTTTCTGAACACTTCTACTAAAAGGTAACTCACTATCGTCTGGGCCACCACATTCCCTGCTCTATATTTTAGAGGAGGTCATCGTTGGGTCTAATGATTTCAATATAAATTTAACTTTCTCTAAGTGAAAAATGGAGAAGAATTACTAGAAGTTTGATTCCAGGATTGTAGTGTGATTTCAGTAGGTTTGGATCTATCGAGATAGGATTATTAAATGCAGCATATAACTTGTATGATCTGAGGTTGTCATATTAAAGTTAGACAAAAATTAAATCTAATATGTAATGAGCATTTACAATGTGAAAGGGACTGTCTAGCAATATTCCTATATTATCTCATTTTAATCCTCAAAGCAATGCAGTAATATAGGTGCTATTATCCCTATTTCATAGATGAGGAAACTGAGGCACAGAAAAGCTAGCAAAGGAGCCCAAGGTAACACAGATTCCTCACAGCAAAACTGGGGTTTGAACCCAGACAGAATGTTCCAGAGCACATATTATTAACCACTATGACATTACTTCCCCAAATTGGATACTGTGATATTTTAAAAATAACTTATGGACAGGCTTAGTGGCTCACACCTGTAATCTCAACACTTTGGGAGACCAAAGTAGGAGGATTGCTTGAGCCCAGGAGTGGGCTCAGCCTGGGCAACATAGCAAGACCTTGTTTCTACCAAAAACAGTTTTAACAAATTAACTAGGCATAGGGGTGCATGCCTGTAATCCCATCACTTTGGGAGGCCGAAGCAGGAGGATCACTTGAGTCCAGGAGTTGAAGACCACCCTGGGCAACATAACCAGACGCCATTTTTACAAAAAATAAGAACAAAATTAAGTGGGTATGGTGGCAAATGCCTGTAGTCCCAGCTACTTGGGAGACTAAGGTGGGAGAATCGCTTGAGCTCAGGAGGTTCAGGTTGCATTGAGCCGTGATTACACCACTGACTGGGCAACAGAGGGTGATCCTGTCTCAAAAATAAAAATAAAAACAGTTTATAGCCTTACTAATTACCGATAGATATGCTGTTATTCCAGAAATGCATTCTTATCACTACAGGCATTTCAGGAGTGGAATAAAATGTTGACAACATTATTTTTCCACTTATATTGATCAAACCCTGGCGAGCACATTAGTATAAGACTTAAAAGGGGATTTTAAGTATATTTGAATGTTTTGTTCTGGTTTGATGTTAAAATATGTTTGCTTATATTTATTAGATTTTAAATGGTTAGAGTTCTTGTCAAAGTCTCCGTCTGTCTTCTTCCTCAGGGACATTGATGGATTTGCTAATGATTTATAAACTACATTATGCAATATAAATGCTAATTAACCTTCTTTAGATATGATACTGTGTATTTAATACGTAGCAATACTTATTTTTAAAGTGATTTAAGTTCCTTTTTTCCCTCCAGCTTTATGGAGATATAATTGACAAATAAAAATCATATGTATTTAAGATATACAGGGTGATGATTTGATATATTTATACATGCTGAAATGTTCCCCACAATCAAGCTAATTAACACATTCATCACTCACATAGTTATTGTGTGTGTGTGTGTGTGTGGTGAGAAGACTTAAAAATCTATTTTTATTGAATTTCATGCACAATGCAATATTATTAACTATGATCACCACGAAATATAAGAATGATTTAACTTATGTTTTACTTTTATTGAAGAAGTTTATTCTAAACTTTTAAAGCAATCACATTGTTATTCTCCATTAACTTTAGATTGTGAAACATTTTTACCCATTTCTCAACACTTCAGCTTTAGTATGGAAGAAATGGTATCATTTTACCTTCTTGATTTCATGAGTCAACATCTTTGAAAATATGTTAATCTATCCAAAAAATGTTTAGTATAGTCTGAATGACAATGAGTTGAAGCCTTAATAAGCAAGTGAGAAATCTGAGACCCTAATCAACACTTTCGACTTCGTTGATAAAAAGACTGCTGGTTACTTGGCATATGATTTTTATGTATTTTATAATCAGTCTTCTCACAGGATGAGGCTTAATTTTAAAACCACATTGGACCATTTGTATATAATTCTATATCCATTATTAAAATGCTGTTGTTTTGTAAGCAGGGAAATGTTAAAAGTTGATTTTTTTCCCCTTTTTTTTCTAGATGTTCGAAGAAGAACAATTTATGAATACCACCGAGTAGAGCTACAAATGTCAAAAATTACCAACATTTCAGCTGTGGAGATGACCCCATTACCTAGTAAGTGAATATGTAAACCTAGGTGGAAAACAGGATTTGCAAACTTGATAGTCTGATCTGTTCAATGGTTATCATAATCGTATTAAATAATTACCATTATAATTGTGTGTGGCATGCATGGACGTTTTGATCCTGAGGATTGGGGGACAGTGATTTTTATTTTAGTTGAGTAATCTCTTTCCCCCCATGTTGCCTGTTAGTCTTTGTGAATCTGAATCTGTTCTTTCCTGTTTTCTAGCATGTCTCCAGTTTAACAGATGTGGCCCCTGTGTATCTTCTCAGATTGGCTTCAACTGCAGTTGGTGTAGTAAACTTCAAAGGTAAAAATATAATATTAAGAATAATAATAAAATTTAAAAAGATATTTTAAAAGATTAGAAATTTAAAAAAAAAATAACTTATGGACAGGCACAGTGGCTCACACCTGTAATCCCAGCACTTTGAGAGACCAAAGTAGGAGGATTGCTTGAGCCCAGGAGTTCAAGATCAGCCTGGGCAACATAGTAAGACCCTGTTTCTACCAAAAAGTTTTAACATATTAACTGGGCATGGGGGCAGTGCATGCCTGTAGTCTCAGCACTTTGGGAGGCCAAAGCAGGAGGATCACTTGAGCCTAGGAGTTGAAGATCAGCCTTGGCAACATAGCCAGACCCCATTTTTACAAAAAAATTTTAAAATCCCATTGACTTGGAAGTGGATGTCAACTGTGTAGCATATGTATGCATTAGCACTATTGTATATATAAAATATGTAGATATCATGATCAAAATGAAAACAAAACTCATAAGTGGGAATTTTACTATTTTCCTTTGAGAGCTCAAAATGACTAAGAGTCTTTATATTTAATAAGGTCATTATCTGACATGTATTTATAATTCTCTGTGGGACTTAAAATACAGGATGATTATAGAGCAGTTGATGAGCCTATAAACCTACAGAAGTGTGTTATGAGATATATTTTCATAGCAAGGGTAGTTTATAATAATCACATGAACATTCTGAGTAAATTCCTATGTAGCATCTCAAAGGTTATTAGTCAAGATCGGAGATATAATCTAATACAAATATAGAACATGTGGTTTTGACGTCACATTGTAATTAGCTAACGCTGAAACTTAAGCTACATAATTTACTGGTGTCAGAGAGGTTTATTGATTTTGACAAGTGGCAAAGATGGTTTTCCAGTTACTAGAGCTTTTCAGAGACTGAATAATCATTTGTTGGAAATACAGGATGAAGACTTGTAAATCTGTTTTGTTATTTACTCAACCATTTTGTGCATCAGTGATGTTCCGGGTACTGGGAACACAGTAGTAAACAATATTGACACGGTCCCTGTCCCCCGTGAAGTTTACAGTCTGCCTTTCTCGCCTTCAGAGTCTATGAAAATTGTTTCCCCAGGAGGAAAACTGAATATTCATGCTGTTAATCCGTGTATGTTATACCCGAGCTTTCGGTTGTATGAGCGACGTCTGTCTTACCATCTTCTTGCTATAGCATTTGCTGTAACGATAAAGACATGCTCCAGGAATACTTTAAAACTTATTGAAGAATGCAAAAATAAAATGCCGATATTTCGATCACAAGCTTTGGGAAACATTTTTAACTCACTAACTTTAGAGCAACTACTGCAGTATTATGGCTAGAACAATATTATTTATGATAACTTCTGTTTTGTTTTCAATTTAACGGGGCATTCTAGTAATTTCCTTTGTGAAATGAATTCCAAATAATAAAAAAGCAAGCAGGCAGTTTGCATTTTTAAAAGGAGATTTTTAAGTTAGTTATATATCTAAAGTAGGAGGAACTGCTATAAAAGCAAGATTTTATGGTTATTTATATTGATATTTTACTAAGTTTTCCATAAAGATTATATGCATATCAGAAGTTATTCAAAATCTGTTTAGATACCAACATAAGGGAATCTAAAGAGATGGCATTTTAATATGTATATTTAAGGAAATCTGATCTCAGAATTGGAAAATGTCCAAAGGAATGATATAGGAGGCACTGGTTTGAGCTGCATACCTACTTCAGATCCATTTCAGTGATCACCTCATCCAAGTCTGTGTGAGGTGCCTATCAGTTGTTTTTCTGCATCCTGGGCAAACCGCCATCATTAGCATTTTGTGTAGGGCCTGCTGATGCTTGTTCATTTGTCTGTCTTCTTTGCTACGCTCTAAGTTTATTAAAGGCAGAGACCATATCCAATTTGTCCTTATATCTCCAGAGCCTAAGAACATACCTGGGACTACAGAAAAGAAAAAAAAAAGGATGAACAAATGAACAATGATTAGCTCCCAAACGAAGGAATCATACTAAAATTTGTGTAGCACAAAGGGTTTCTCGAGATGAGGGACTTTCAATGCTAAAACCAGGAAAGTCCAGGAAAAAAATAAGGGCCATTTGACCACCCTAACCAGAAGACAATTAGGAGAATTTTTGACTTAAATCGTGTTATGGTAAATGGAGGTTTTGAAGGTTCATCTAGAAACCTGCTTACCACTGATCATTTCATCTTTTAATATAATTTTTGATGAAATATATGTTTAAACTTCCAAACAAGCAATTTTGACAATCAAAACATATCTGCGAGTTGGAATCTGCTTCTACTGTTAATACTTTCAGTTTATTGAGAGATGTCTCTGCCAGACATTAAGCCAAGGAATTTTCAAATATCACACTTAACATTTTCACAGCGGAGGAAACTGAAATTTTTAGGAGCTCAGCTACGTGTACAGGGTCTCATAGCTCTTAAGTGATAAGTTTGGAATCAAACCTCCATCTTTGTGATGCCCAGCTTTTGGTCTTGTTTTTTCAACACCTGTTCTGTGTCACACCTGCCAGGTTGCAGGTGCATCAAGCAAGATAATTTTCATTGCTTTCTGAGAAATTGTAGACGTATTACTGAAAAATAAATCTGTCCTAGTTGATGCCACAAGAAAGTATCATTGATTTGAAACTGGCATAAGAATAATGTAGAGGATAATCGAGAAAAGTCTAAGACTTTTGCATATTATTGAAAGCATAGTTTCTTTAAGATTACTGGGGAAAAGAGAGTTGGTGAGGCATATGAATGGGAAAGAAATTCATCAAAGAACACTACTCAAAAAAACTACAGGCCGGGCGCGGTTGCTCAAGCCTGTAATCCCAGCACTTTGGGAGGCCGAGACGGGCGGATCACGAGGTCAGAAGATCGAGACCATCCTGGCTAACACGGTGAAACCCCGTCTCTACTAAAACTACAAAAAAACTAGCTGGGCGAGGTGGCGGGCGCCTGTAGTCCCAGCTACTCAGGAGGCTGAGGCAGGAGAATGGCATGAACCCGGGAGGCGGAGCTTGCAGTGAGCTGAGATCCAGCCACTGCACTCCAGCCTGGGCGACAGAGCAAGACTCCATCTCAAAAAAAACAAAAAAAAACAAAAAAAAACAAAAAAAAACTACAAGTTTTCTGAATGTTACTGTTTGGTGTTTTATTGAATACCGAACACTTATTTAAAATCTTGGATTTATTTTTAATTCTTCAGCAACCCCGTTACATACATATCAAAACCTGTTTAATTAATCGGTTTAAGTATGCCTCATTGCACTTTTGTTCAACTTAATTTCCCCACTGCATTTTATAAATTTCTCCTTAGACCTGTAAGCTTCAAAACTTTGCTTTGCTGCCCAGAAGCATTTCCCCAGACTTTACAGCTTTTATGAACAAATTCAACAAAGCAAGAGAAGTCTTAACCTAAGCAGCACAAAAATTGCCCCTCTGGCTTTTTTCTTCCATCGCTCTTACTTTCTTCTTTGTGCTTACTTATCCCTGAATGATAATCAGTTGGTGGTAATTACTGAACTCTCAAGTAGGGCTTGCTCTAAAAAGATAAGATAATTTTAATTGGTTTGTTGATTTCATTTAATTCCTATTTTTCAGGGAGCAAAAACTAAGGCAAAATGTTTGCAATGGCTTTCCCAAGCTCTAAGAGAATTTGAGTTATAGAAACATAAAGAGATCCATGGTCTCAAGTGCTTACTTAAATTACTTGGTCCATTTCTTTGGACTAAGAGTGGTTTTGTTTCCTCATTGCAAACTGAGAATATCTAATCAATCACTTTTAACTGCACCTTATAGCTTCACTCATTCCACAAAAATTTGTGAGTGTCGGTGTTCAAGTCACTCACCAAGATTGTGCGTTCAGTAGTGAAAAAAGACAGACAAAAATCACTTCCCAAGGAGAGCTTTCATTATGGTATAGGGAGACAGAGTTCAAGCAAATAGATATACAGAAAATAGAGTTAATAGTGACGAGTGTTACGGTAAGAGAAATAAACAGGAAAATGTAAGGGGATAATATAGCAAATTGGTAACAATAGCAGGAGTTTACTTTTTGATATCGCCTTTAAGTAACCTTGCTCTTTTAAAGACAGCATGGTTTGATTAGTTTTTATATGAAAATACATTTTTTGCACTTACAGTATTCATTCACTCATTTATTTACTTAACAATGTATAGAATGCATAACACCTGTCAGGCATTGATCTAAACACTAAGGTAGTTAGAGCAATAATCAAGTATTAATCAAAACCGTAGCTCTCATGGAGCTTGGAGTTTAGCTTAGCAAGCCAGAAAATTAAGAATTAATAATTAGGCAGACAAAGTCAAATGGTGGTGGGTTGTCTGCTGGATTTGAAAGAGCCAAATTGCTCTTGGCTGGGTGGCCAGGAAAGGCTTTTCGGAGGGAGTAATAAATAAACAAAGATCTGAATGATGGGTAGGCAGCTACAGCGAGGTGAAAGCAAAGAGACTTGAAATGCCATTTGAATGGCCCATACAGTGGCCCTATGGTGGGTCCAAGTTTGACCTGATGAGGAAAGGAAATAAACCTGGTGCATTGGGAGGATTCCAAGCTGGTTTTGGAGTGAGAGGGACATCAAATAAACTCAGAAAGCTACCCAAGTGCTGGGACACAGATGGCTCTGTAAGCTAGGGAGAGTTTTATCCTCAGAATCATGGAAAGCATTTAGACTTTATCACTTACGCAAAGGGACATGATTTTACCATATTTAAAAATGGAACTTTGGCTGCTGCTTGGAGAACAGAGCTTTTGTTGATTTGTTTATTTGTTTGTTTGGGGAGTGGTCCAGAATGAAAAGGAAGAGGCTAGTAGTGAGCTTGTGCAATAGTGCACAGGAGGTAATAATAGTAACTTGGACGAGCGTGATGGTTCTGAGGATCAGGAGAGATCAATCAATGCAAGGTGTTTGGGAAGGAAACAGATTATGTGTGTGTGTTTGTGTGTGTGTGTGTCTTAATCAAGTTTATTGAAGTATA